AGTGAAATAAAGTTTATTAAATTGTCATGTTGGATCATCATAATTTCATGCTTCACCTTTTAGGGAAGAAATAATATTTAATATAGAGAAAATATTTAATGAGGTGAACTTTAGACAGGAACAGGGTTTGTTACCCTCCCTCCACCCCCCAACCTCCACCACAAGGAATATGCCAGAATTCAACAAATGGCACTCAAAAGCCAGGCATCCGTTGACAGGCAACGGTTGAAATCAGGTATGAGTTATCAGAGTGATAGGTATTCAACTAGCTCTTGGCATCTGCCTCCAGGAACGCAGCAATGGGAAGGAAAAGATTTAAACCTTTCAAGGTGACATAATGTTTGGGAACTTGGCCAGTCTCACTGGGTTTCTTTCTACTGTGTCACTATTACTGCTGTCTTCTAACTTTTGAGTCCTGCAAGCCCTCCCTAGCACCACTCACTAGCCCACGGTGTTATGAATAGCTCCCCTCCCTTCTGTTCCTGCGCTGCGTTTCTCAGACTCCACTGTAGGAGCGGCTGGCCCTCTCTGCTTCCTCCTGCACGTTCTGAGGCACTCTCATCTCTGATGTTCAGTCTCTAAGTTCTTGGGCAAGTTCTCTCCTAGCCACCTTCCCAGCTCTCAATATGGTGAAATATTTTTCCTTGACTCTAGATTTTATTTACAGTGTTATTCTTATGCCCATACTCGCAAACTCAGAATTTGTTGTTGTCCTGTGTTTGTTGTTTATCTTAACAGCGAAACTACTTAGTTCTATTCATTCAAGCCTATTAATGCATACTTTTGGCCTGGAAACTTCTTTTAGTTTAATCACACAGCTCCCGTAATCCCTAAGGTAGTGCATTTAAGCCTTTGGGGAATATTTGCAAATATCTCACCTGCCTTTCATTACCTTTCTCCTAATGATAGACAATTCTAGATTTGTTCTTTTAAAAATCTTTCAGGATACAACTCTCAACGACTGCAGATATGTCATAAAAGAAATCACTTGCACTGGCAATTTTACGTATTTTGAGGATACTAAATACATACAGTTTTTCCAATGTCAAAGATTAGGAAACACACATAAAACAGTAAGTAGAAGTGTGGAAGTGCTGTGGTTCTTTCTGGAACTGAGCATCCTGTATCAATGCCCGGTATTGTGCAGGAATCTCTTAGAGTTAGCTCGAAAGCCGTGCTGTACCTGTAGCCCATGGAATGAACTGTGCAGGTTGAATTATTTCACCTGTTTTGGTCCTTGATTGCTCTTTTCATTTGTCTGTTTAATTTTTTTTCATGTTGCCAATGCCTTTTATATTCAGTTTGGAAAAAGCGAAATAGAGACAGAAAGAACATTTTTAAAAAGCGTAACTACCAACTTAAGGAAATTAAAACTACTTTTAGCACACTGTTCACGGTATAGCCTTTAGATCTTTTGCCATGTACATTTGTACTTTCTCCCAAAGAACAAACATTCTGAACATGTAATTTTATTTTTCTTCATATTCCCTTTATTTCCCTCTTGTGCAGGTAACTGGTAGATCATCTATGAATCCAGGTTTCCTGAACTACCCAGTTTAGCAAGAGATGTCTATTTCTTTTTGTATAGATTTCTTTTTTTTTTTTTTTTTTCTGTTTCTGACACTGTCACTCTGGGGCCTGAATTTGCCTGCGTACCCTAGTAGTAGCATAAATCCTTATTTGGTGTGTGTACCAGCCAAAGTTAAGCTGTAGATATCTGCTTCCTCAAGCCCTTTCCTCCATATCAAGACTATATATATTTATGTCAATAAATATTTATTTACAACAGCATTTTCAATGGTACGTTCTGTTTTACTGATGAACATAACTTATTTAAACACCCTCTACTGTTGGGCATTTATGGGTTTTACCTTGTGTATGTGTGTTTTACTATTATAATCAATTCTGCAATAAATACCATTCTTACTAAATCTGTGAACATTGCTGTTTTCCCCTTAGGATAGGTCCTAAAAGTAGAATTGATAGGTTAAAAGGTAGGCTTTTTTTTTTTCCAAAGCTTTTGATACATATCACCCTATTACCTTTCAGAAATCTGTCACTGATACCCCCAGCAGCAATATTGGAAATGTACCATATTACCAGACCCTTACATATTTTCTCTTAAAGTAATTGATAATGTAATGAATGAATGGGTCTTTGCTTTCTTAACCACACTAAGCATTCCAAATGATTACCCATGTTTACAGATTCTTTACTACAAAGTACTCTGTAAATACAGTCAAAAAACTTTTATTTTCGGTTGATAGCTTGTTTGCTTGCAGCATTGTTTGCTTATAGTTTTAAGTGATGGCCAGGTGAGGAAAATAAAGGAAACCAGTAATGATACTTTAGCCTCAGTCTCCCTCCCCTCAAAACACAGCACCCGAGGGCAACTACTCATAAGCTCATCCCTGGTGATCTCTGAGTTTCAAGGAGATGAGAATTAGATCCATCTCACAAAACTTTTAATAACTCTTTTTATAGATCATGCGTTATCAAAGTTGTCAGCTTGAAGAGAAGTGTACTGCTGTGAAACCAAATGGGCGCTGTGCTACTTATCAGTTAGTGTTTTATTATATCTTGCTTGCTTTTGGCCAAGTTCCTTGTGGCCTTTATATTCAACCATGAAAATTACAATTCAAAAATCACAAGGTACAGTATTTTGAGAGTCTATCTCTGACTTCTTTGGTGGGTAGTAGATTAGGTGGTTCTTTTGGAGAAGTATGTGATTAGGGTAAAAAATCCACGTAACAGGAGTACCAGTTACTGTGACTATGGGACATATGTTTTTATCTTGAAAGCCTTAGTCTCAACTAAACTTTGACTTTTCTAGGCTATGCCTTGCCTGTTATGATGGCAGCATATCGTAAAAGTCCTGTGTTGCACTTCTGTGTTTATTTGCCCAGAATCCATGAAACAAGAGGTGCCTGGGGAGCAAAGCATTTCTCAGTTAAAGGGAACCTTACAGATATTGCAGTTCAACATGTTTAATGGATGATGATGGGTGTGGTGGTGATAATAATAATAAGGAGAAGGAGGAAGAGAGTAATTTTTGGAGCTCTGATGTGCCTTTCGTTCTGCTTAGTGCTTCACTTAAGTTTTTTTCATTTATTGAAGGTGGAAAGTAAGTTCCAGACAGGGAAACAACTCTCCTAAGATCACTCAGTGAAGCCAAAGATCTAACTCAGATTTCCTGACTCTCAGTGTTGGAGACTCTCCATTACATAATGCTGGCTATATGTAAACCATTTTAGACATTTTAAACTCGGAAGTTTTAAATTTTATAATTATAAATAGCATTTCTATGGATGCTAAGTATTTACATATATAATACATGTTGAAGGACTTTAACCTTATCTATTATCTGCATTCATAATAATAATTGTTATAATTTCCATTTATTAAGTTTTTACTTTAGACATATTATCTCTATTCTTTAAAATAAGAAAGTAAAATAAAATATTCTATAAATAAGGGACTTGAGACTCAGAGTGGAGCAATTACCTCTTCTAAAGGAAGTCAGTTAAGTAGGAGCAAAGCTGGGATTTAAGCCCCTCTCTCTTGTTTCCAAAACTCTTTCTACTTTATTCTATAGTTGCTTATTCAAGAATAGCAAAATCAAACAACCTTGAAAATGGTTGATTTGGGGTACTGTAGAAGTATATACATTGTTTTCTTTCTCTTTCGGTCTGTTTATGCCTCATTTCTTCTTAAAACTTATGTGAGGGATAAAATACTTCACTTTACTGTACTTCTAAAAAATTTCACACTGGGTCTTTTCCCTCTTAAATACTTGGAGGAAATGGACATAGGTTAATAAAGTTAACATGTGGTCCTAGACTTTTAGTAGATTTTATTCTAAGCCAAGAGAAAACAATTGTTTAAGGAAGACTGATAAATGAATTAGAGATAAGAGCTCACCTCAGTAGGTCAGTTTGTCCTCATCCTTTAGCTGATGTGTATAGATTCTACTAATGTTTCTTGATTTTTATTCTTTTCTTTTGTTTTTATAATTAAATGTTATACACTCAGACTGTCAGAACCAAATTAAAGCAGAAACTATGACTTTCTAATACCGAGTCAAAAATTGATGATGTGTAAATGAATCTTCCCATTCCTCAAAGCAGGCTGCTTCCTTCACATTCTCCCAGGTGTGGGGCCAGCTGGATGGCCTGCTTCACCCTCTACTCGCGCCTCTACCCCAGTCAACATGGAAGAATCCAAGCTTCTCTCTTTAATTATTCCCAATGGTAGTGTTAGTCTAGCAAGTAGATCCTCAATCAGCTCACTCACTGATGACCTTCTGACCATATTGTCTAGAAAAATGATAACGATTTTTCTTTCTTTCAAATGAATGCAAGAGGAAAATCTTTTCTTCATTTTTGGAATATAGACATATCAGTAAATATGAAATTGTGTAGAGTGAAATAAATTATTTTTAATTCAAAATGACCAAAAACATCAATCCCTTTTAGAAAATTTAACAATTATTACTTAACTCTTAAAGATGAAATGAGAAAACTTAAAGGGCTACCCTTAGCAATGGATGCTGTCATTTTTGCCATTTTTTGTAAAATTCCCTCACTCATTGAATTTCTTTTTGACGACTAGCGTAAGGCAAATTGGAGAAGAATGCTTTGGAAACTTCCTTCTTATGTTATATGGCTGCCTCAAAGCACATTGCTCTTGCAGGACAGCATATTCTCTTAAATGAGCCCACTGATTTTTCATGAATTTTTATTTTCCTGTAGCCATGCAAACCAGTGCCTTCTTTAAAAGCAGAGATGAAATCGTAAATCTGATTTTTCATAGTAATGTTAAGGTCGGCGCTGAATAGTAAAACCCGTTCAAGACCATGGTATTTGAAAATTTTTAAATCCTAGAAGTATGTCCCACAAAAGATAGAATTGATTTGTGCTCCAGATACTTCATCTAAAATACCTTTTCTGTCTTTTCCTTTTTACTCTGGCCTTCACTTTTAACGATCCATCGGCCTACAGTGTCTTTACAACCAAAATGCAAAGCAGACAAATGGGCATCTCAGGGAAGAACATGACTAAGAGCACCAGCATCAGCGGAGACATGTGCTCGCTGGAGAAGAACGATGGCAGCCAGTCTGACACTGCGGTGGGCGCCCTGGGCACCGGCGGCAAAAAGCGGCGCTCTAGCATTGGGGCCAAAATGGTAGCTATTGTTGGTCTCTCCCGGAAAAGCCGCAGTGCTTCTCAGCTCAGCCAGACGGGTAGGCATTTTTATGTTACTTTTGACTTCGTATTTGAGTTGTCATTAAAATACATGTTCTTTTCTCTTACTCATTCTATTGCAGTAATGTGTGGATGATGACATGTACCAGAAGGAAAGGGGCATTCTAAACTAGTTAACCTTTCTGAAAAGACAATAACTTTATTTTTCAGTGATCAGTGAACCTGCTTCAGAGTGCACCTTGGCTACTGTTCTTGAAATGCAGTTAGTGTCTTTTCTCCTCAGGGAGGAGTTAAGCTGTGGTCCCCCTGATTGTCAGCCGCTGATCCTTTGTAAAGGTCCTCTGATCTTTGAGATATTTGCTTTTCTTTAGGTTCCTCGAGTTGGAACCGGCTAAATTAATTTTCATTCCTAGCAAGTTACCACGATGAAGATGACACCACATATTTTGTGTGGATAATATGCTTCTTTTATTGCTGACAGCCGAACTTCTTTTCCAGTTTGTAAGCAGCATTTACCAGTTGTATGAGTTTTCTCACTGCAGTTTTCATTTCCCTGTTAAAACTTCAAGCAGCAATATTCTCCAGCCGCAGGGATGGAGGAATTTTCTGCTGACAGCGAAGATATTCAAAGCTTTGCTATATTAAAATTCAGTTACTAAATCACATCTGCAGAAATAAATTAGAAACAACACTCCTCCTCAGAAAAGCCACTGTTAGCAATTAAGAAATTTGTGAGTCAAAGCCATGTCTTCTTGCAAATGGGTGTTGATAATTAAACATTAAGTCCCTGGTGTCTTGGAAATAATAGCATATCTTCTACTTAACAAACAAAAGCATATAATATGGTGTTTCTTTTACAGCAAATAAATTATAGGCCAATGGATTTAATCTCATTTTTGCTTGAATACCAGGGTTCTGGTACATAGAAGTTAGGGCATCTATCTGCAACACAAAAGAATTTATGATTACGTTAATTCCTGGACCCGGCTAATCTTGGTTTTGCAAGCTATAACGATTCTGGCATTTGAGCCTTATATAATAATATTACATTGAAATAATTATTTGATGTTATTCCTTATATCTTGTTTGTAACTTACTGTGTTTAATGTGATTATTGTTAAAGGAATTTTTAATTTGGTGTTTTAAAATGTTATTTTGCATTTTAATGTAAAATTAGAAATTCAGTTTATGGACATGGAGATCTTGTCTAAATGATTTTCAAATTGCTAATGTTTGTCATAATTAACTGTGTTGTGCTAATATGATAGATGCTGGCTTTTTGAAATTGAGGGGTTGTTTTCCTCTAGCAGTTAGAACATTTATGACATTTTGCTCTTTAAAACCTACAAACTTTTGTAAACCTGAAACTGCTCTAAAAAATAAAGTCTATTAGTTTTTTAAAAATCAAGAACCTAAAACAGACACTAATAAGACTACAAATTAGAGAATTTGTGGTGTTAAACTAAATAATTAATTTCATTCCTTCAGGAGTTTTTGGTAAATATTGAGCACTTAATGTATGCAAGGCACATAGAGAACAAAGATAAGTAAAAGGTCATTTATAACCTGAGTTGCTTATAATCTAGTAGAAGACAGAAACTTAAAGAGATTGCTTCAAGCTCATGTGTCAGTGGTAAACCAAGAATTACACAGAAAGTATGCTGAATGCTCAGGAGATCACTTGACCCAACCTAGAATTCCAGGAGTGAATCCCCAGAGGAGATGATGTCTGATCCAAGGCCTGAAAAACAGAGTGACTGCTAACCAGGTAAAGAAAAATTAGAAAGATGTTCCAGGTAGAAACCATAATGACAAAGGCACGGAGGCATGACATGGGCAGGATGATAGGCAGTGGGTGTAATTTTAACAAAATGTTGGACTGAATATGGCTCGAGATGAGGCCGGTAGGTCAGCAGAGACCAGGTCATGGAGAGTCCTGTAGATCCTATGAATTTGTAGGTGATAAGTTTTAAAGGATTTTCAGTAGAGAATTGATATGGTCAGATTTGAATCATATGTATTCTGTTGGCCATTCAGGCTGCCATTTATTTATCTAACAATTTTTTTGAGCATCTACCATATGCTATATCCCAAAGAAAACACGAATGAGACAAGAGACCCTTCTCTTCGAGCTTATATTCTAGTGGGGCTGCGATAAAGAATTAAGCTTAACTAAGCATCTGGTTTTAGGATGAATTAGCAGAGTAGTACAATATTTTAGATAAGACCCTGAACTAAGTCAGTTGTGTGTTGTAATAAAGATAGAGCAGGGGTGATAAATTCAGGTGATTTTTAAAGAGTAAAATTATTCAGTCATCTGATTCCATGATGGGTTGGATTTGCAGAGGTGAAGGAGAGAAGATACTAAGATAATCTGCATATTTCTGGCTTGCATCACTGGATGGGTGGTTTTAGTGCTGTTAGTAGATATTAGAAGTGTGAAAGGAGTAGGTTGGGAGGAGGAGAACGAGTCCTTCAATTCAGGGCATGTTCAACCTGAGACATCTGTAGGACACCCAAGGAGAAATATCTAGAACATACTTAATTAAATATTGTTAAAGCTGTTGTCAGAACCAGAGACATAAATCTGGGGGTTCTAAAGTTTAGATGATGCTTGAAACTATGAACATGGCTGAGGTTGCCCCAGAAGAACACTACAGATAAAAGAGCAGTAGGTGAAGACAATACTCTGTGGAAGACTAACATTTTAGAATTGGGCAGAGAAGCCAATGAAGACCAAGAAGAAATGATCATGAAGAAAGGGCAAACACTGTGGGAGAGTGGTGTCACAGATGGTAAGGGTGTAGAGGATTTCAAACAGAATAGTCAGCATTTCTCAGTGATCAATTTCATGTCTTCATAGTTTTGGCATTAATATCCCATTTATCTTTCTTTGACAATATTTTTATTTAAAAATAGAGATCTATTGACCATACAATGATTTGGTTTTTGCCTTCAAAAAATTGTGATGTTGGCAGATTTAAGAAATGCAGCCTTGTTCCTTATTATACCATATAGCCCCTTCCTATATGTATATAGCATAGCAGAAAATAACCTGTTCCTTTTTATTATTGTCTTCATTTATATTCAATGACATTATAATGGTTAAAAATTTTTCTCATTCTTAAAATGTGCAATTATTTGTACCTACACACTTTATAGGTTGAAACTATATTGACATTAGAATTCAGAATCTCTCTCAATTTGAAGCCTGAGTTTAACTGTAGAATAGACAACAGAGTTTATTTTGCAGTTAACTGGATTCTAACCTTTCCGTGTGTTTCTAGATTCTGTATTTATGTGTATATGTGTACATGTTTCAAGTAAGGTTTTTATGTTCTTTAAAAATGCAGTCACAAGCTCTAACAATATTTAAAACTGAAATCTTCAAATTTAATACTTAAACTCTTTGATCATATGATACCATTATCTAAAGCAATGAAATGGTTTTATGATGTTGGAGCTACAATAGATCCTTTGTTTAGACATAAATGTATAAGTTGTATTGAGTGACTTGTCTAAAACCAAGAAATACATTTTCAACTATTATGTTTGCATTTTCAAAAATTCAGTTAGTAATCCCTTGATTTTCCTGGTCTCTATATGGAGATCTGCATGTAATTAAGTTATAAGAATTATCATTTAATGAATGATATACCGTAATGTTTTCCATTTCTAAAAAATGTTATTTATCATTGTAAAAAATAAGCATCATTACACTAGTATGAATTTCAAGGTCAGATAAAAACTGCTCACTTGCCTTCTGAAGAGTAGAAAACTCAGCAAAATGGTATCTTTCTAAAGAATGGTCAAATTATTCTGGATTATATCTGTAAGCATACATGAACAATCATTGGCGAAGGGGAAACCATTTATAAAAATATGTTCGTTAATACACATAGTAGCTAAGTCACGTCTCTCTACTTTTGCCATGCTATTTTGTATCCTTCTTTGCCTGTTAAGTGGAAAGTCACCATTTTTAAAGCTTAAATATATTTTGCTAAACATCACAACCTCTTAGAAAGCACATAGAGTGAATAAGGAGACTTGGGTGCTATTGCTTACTCTGTGTTATATAAGATATCCAATATTGCCTCTTAAAAAACCTACCCAATCTGAGTCATGGAATATTCATCTGACAGATGGAATTAGCACCTGCTGTCCTAACAGGGTTTTTATAAAGATAATACTTTTAAATCTATAAGAAAATGCTTTTGGAACTTAAAAATCACTTTGTAGATGAAAGCTAGCAGTAGCAAATTCAGCTTCAGGGGGAATCAGGAATTCTGTTTTAGACATGTTGATTTTGAGATGCCCATTAGACATCTAAGAGCAGTTATTATATTGGCTGGACATATGTCTAGAACTTAGTAGTATGTAACTTGGGAGTAATCAGCAGGTAGTATTTAAGCCCACGGCACCAGGTAATACTGCTTAGTGTAACTTGAATCCAAAAGAAAACTGAGGACAGTGCCCTGGTGTATACTAACCTTTAAAAGTCAGGAAGAGAATTCATTAAAGGAAAAATAAGAGAGAGCAACCATTAAAGAAAAAGAAAAAGAAGAATATGGTATCTTAGAAATCAAATGAAGAAAACATTTTAAGAAAGATGGTCAGTTGTGTCAAGTGCTTCTGGTAGTTCAAGTAAGATGAAAACTGAGAACTGGCCGTTGTATTTGGCAAGATGGAAAAATTTGGTGAACCTTGACAAACTTGCCAGTGGTGGACAGAGCCCGATTGGAGGAGTTAAGGAAAATGGGAGGTGAGGTAGAGTCAGCATAATTTCAAGAATAAAAATTAGAACACCTAATACTTTTTGAGCACTTTTATTTTGAGCACTTTACATGTAAGTCATTTAAACCTCACAACAATGTTATGAAGCAAGAATTAAATACTTTTACCCTCATTTTACAGATGAGGAAACCAAAGTAGGCAGAGGGGGAATAACTTCCCTAAGTTTACCTAACTAATAAGGGTAGAAGTTGGGATTTAAATCCAGGCAGTATAGACCTGGAAACTTCATTCTTAATTATTTTGT